ATTCCCTTTGGAGCACCTGCCATTGGCCACTGTCAGAGGACAGGATACTGGGCTTGATGGACCTGTGGTCTGACCCAGTATGGCCGTTATTATGTTCTTATGTTCTTGAATACAATGAGTTTACACAGGTGGCCAAGTTACCAGAAATTAGATGACAACTATGTTGTGGATGTGCAAGCAGACATGATTCAGTTCACTCTCCTAGAGCTGGGTTGGTTCTACACAGGAATAAAAATCCGTAAAAGTTTACTATTGTCCCTGAAGTGCATTTCAAAAGATTTGGAGGTTCTAAGGGCTAGATTCAAAAAGGAAATCCAGGCTGAGCATTACAGCACCTACCGTTTACGTGCCATGTTGTCAAATGGAATTCACAGAAATTAGCTAGGCATCCAGGCTCTCTATACAATGCTTGGTGAGAGTCAGGTGCCAGAAAAGGGATTCACAAAAGACAGAACACTGAGCTGCCTAAAATAGCCAGTAGGAGATGCCAAAGAGAGGGTTGTGGCCTAAGCCTCACACCTCATAGGGAGTTTGGCACCTAAATCCCGGTTGGAAAGAGATAGGTGCCTCCCTCCATTGGGGATTCACAGCTGTGAACCTTCTCCTGGAGTTAAGGGCCTAACCCAGACTGGCCCTTTCTCAAGAAAAACAGAGGAGGATGTGCTGTCACTGTGCCCCTTTTACTCAATAGCCCAATGGGTAGAGCACTAGGGTGCATGAGATCCAGGTTCAAATCCCCACTCTGCCTGATGTGGAGCAGGTGCGTGAACCTAGATCTTCCACCTCAAAGGTGAATTATAAGCAGAGCTGTTGGGTGGTGTCAGGACAAAGGCAGCTGTGCACATGTAGGCACCTAGGGGACTGTGCCATTTGAAATATAGGCACTGAGGGAATTCAGACACGTACAGGATTGGGGACATCTGAGCAGAGGTTTTGTGAACATCAGTGGGGCCTAAATGTTGGACCCAGATCCCCTTTGTGAATCAAACCCTAATAATCTCACCCAACTTCAGATTTTAACAAAGCCTCTTGGTTTGTCTCCTAATCTTATGCTGTAAATCACAAGACAATCCTTTGTCTTTTAAAGGTATTTTTATGTGCAGCATTGGAACTGTGCTGAGGAACCTTAATAGATTTCAGAACTAATACCTGAAACCATCAATCACAACACTACTTACTGAACGGCAGTGGCAATAATAATTCTTGCCTATTTACTTTATAGAGATTGAAATAAGGCTTAACTACTTAATGTTTGCAAAGCACGTTGAAAATGTGGAGCACTATGCAAGTTCTCAATATTATAGTTTTAAAAAGAGTCTTTAAGAATTTCCTGTTTGGAAATTTAAAGGCAGGTGCAATTAACAACATTTAAGACTCTATTCATAGTCTTGTTTCCATTACAACTTACGTGTATTATCTATCAGACCATTTCTACAGCCATTCATGTGGTCTTATGGATGGTTGATCATGCTAAAGAGGTTTAATTTATATGCAGATTAGCACTAGTACATCAGATAAAAGAAAAGGCTCTTGAAATTTTGCATCCATTCAATAATAGGTCGCTACTTGTAAGAATGCTTAACTTAAATCTGCTTCCCTACCAGATAATTCTTGTTATATAGGATTTTCATAAAGAAAGAGGCAGTAAATTTGTTTCCTTTTTCAAAAGTGCAGCCCAGTCCCATTGACTTTAATGGAAGCAGGAACAGGACCAAGACTGGCAATCAATTCATAAGGTATTTGAATGAAAAACAGAGAGTCTGCATTTCCTAATTCTCAATGTAAAAGCTTGGTAATCTAGTGGTTTTAATACTGTACATATATAGTCAGAACTGGAGATGAAAAATATTCACATGGTATTTATTGGATCTGGAAAAGGCCTTTGACCAAGTTCCAAGAGAAATTTGGTGTGTATGAGGGAGAATATGATACCAGAACTTTGTGTGTAGCTTGTTCAAGCCATGTATGTATGCGCAACATCAACAGTCAGAACTTTTAGTGGTGCAGCAGATGAACGATGGGTAAAGGGGGGAGTGCATCAGGGATCAACACTGAGCCCCTTTTTATTTATCCTTGTCCTGGATACCCACAAAAGGAAGCACCTTGGTGCACGTTGTTTGCAGATGATATTCTATGTAGTGAGGAGAAAGATAGTCTAGAAGAGGATCTTGGTAAGGGGAGAGATGTGTGGGAGAGACATGGGCTCAGGATAAGCAGAGGAAAAACAGACTATATGGTGTATAATTTCAGTAATGTGAACACTGAAGAATTATCCTTGAAACTAGAGGGGCAATTAGTATTATGACAATTTCGAGTAGCTGTCTATACAACTTACTAATTCTGGTTGATATTATGAAATTGTTACTATAAAAATTGCTGTATCAGGAAATGTGTCTAGGTCAGCATATTCACCATTGCTGATAAGCTTTTATGCACGTTCATCCCAGACCATGAACAACAGACGATCCCTAAGGACTATCATCACCTGACTAGGTCTTACCTGGGGAGAACAAAAGAATAATTGCAGCATCCTAGGGGAAACCAGTTCCAATAAACACCATGTAAATGTTTTCTGTCTCCCGTTGTGATTATATATGCACAATATTAAAACCACTAGGTTGCCAAGCTTTAAATTGAGAATTAGGAAATGCAGAATCTCTGCTGAAGGTCTGCATTGTAACTTAAATGGTCAACAATTTACAGATGAAAAGGTGAACCTGAGAGTGATGTGTGCTTAATTACCTCAGCCATAATAATAGTGATACTGTGTGGCACCAAAGCATTGGTGAGCAGCTTTATTGGGTATCATGAGCGCTGAGTGTCCAGCTACCATTTTATTTCCTTGTGTTATCCTATGTATTTCAGGCTTATGTGCAAATGATATGGGGAAATTGCTTTGGTCAGTGAACAAATACCACAGAAATTATATAAATCTGAACCTCATCACATGATATTGACCAGAAGAAAATAGCCACACTTGTAAAGAAGATTGCTTGGTAGTTTATTTACAACAGAATGTAAGGAAAAGTAAGTTATTAACAATAATAAATAACTCAAAAAACAGCAACTAAGTGATATGGATGACAGATATGAGAATAAAATTCTTCTGCTTAGCCTTGCATTGTTTAACATACGGCACATTTCAAAGCTTGGTCCTTCTCTGATGGCAGTGGTACATTCTCTAATGTTAAATGTCATAACTCTAAACCTAAAGCTAGACACTAAGGATTACAGGACATTCAAAGTCACATGGAACTTTCACAGAAATGAAATAAAAACAATTAATCGGTATTAGTGACACCCAAAAACTAGAGGAGATTGTAATTCAATGACCATGCTGTCCATTTAAAGCAAAAACATTGTTAGACTCAATTAGCCTCAAGCATTTTGGAATTTAGACAACTAAATTAAGTCTGAATAATGGCAGCTGAAAAGTTCCTATTGACAAATTCATGTATTCTCTCTTATAACTCATAAAAAGCGTGTCTGTTCGGCCTATTTTAAATAAGAGAATGTTAAGTTATAGTGCAGCAAATCCCAATGTGTTATTAAAGATTGTTGCTGTTTAATTACCAAATTAAAATCACTGGACAAATAGTCCAGTTTCAAAATATCTATTTAAGCGCCTTATGTTCTTCAATGTTTTTGTATACTACTACTAATGAATGTGAATTGTGCCCTCAATGGAGCAAAATCATCTCCCAAAATCTTGGTATGATCAAAAAGTAACAGAATAAGATCAAACTATGCCTTTTTGTTGGATTATTTTGTAACTCTTACCTATGTGACCAATCATTACTGTAGTGAATAATCCCATTGAAGTCTATTACTAAAGACTATTCACACAAATAGGAGTGGCAGGACCGGGCCCTTGCAAATTATTATTCAGAGAAATCTCTCTTTTTAATTTAGTAGGTGTTTTACCTGTGGCAGGACTGCAGGATTGAGCCCTCAATTGCCAGCATCATTCTGCAAGGTGTGATTATTCTGGAGGAAATACATATAAAAGTAGGATCAGAGTGGGGAGAAGCATTTTAAAAAAATCATAAGCCAATTTCCTTATCAGCTTCATTGTGCTCTTCTTGATGATAATTTGTTTGTAGAGCCTCACTATGGTTGTATTATTTAATTCTCCAGTCATGGCAGCAGGGAATAAGGAGGCTACCGAATTATTAAGTAACTTCAGTTTTGCTGCGTTGCATCATACTTTAAAGATGTGCGTAGTACAGTTTTTTTTTCCCACAAAAGAAATCAACGTGCAAAATACTCTACTTCCTTCCCCTCCCCACAAACATGTCTGAAAATTCTACAGAAGATATTTTTACATAATCCATTCACAAGTCAGCAATGAAAATAAACAAAACATTTTCTCAAAACATGTTGCCAGAAAAATATTCTAGATTGCTTTTTTTTATTTTTATTTTTGTGTATGTGCATAAGGAACATGG